AAAATATATATGTAGTAGAGATATTTTGTATAGTGAGAGTCAAATTGTATTTAATTCCAAAATGGACTTTGTTATTTACTCATCAAGCCAAAGCTCAAACTCGAACTTCAATTTTTTGTCAATAGTTTAGTTCATTAGTTACCCTTGTTTTATCCTTATTTTTTTTCCAAAATACATTTTTCTCTCTCTTCTTTTCTACCACACACATATACAATAAAATAATATTACACGTAAATTCAAAAAAATTTCTTATTTTTTAACTACACATTCTCTATCAATCTACTATTCAAAAATACATTTTATGCAAAAAAAATTGGACTCAAACATGCCCTTAATTTTACGAGTGACAGAGTTTGCAATGATTCTTTTACTGTTGCTTCACTTTAAATATGTCTATATTATGTTCACGTTCAAATTTGCTATTTATTTTTATGTGTTTTTACTTAAAATGATGATCGAAGGATGAGTGATTGGTGTAATTAACAGTGCTATCAAGCGACAACGCTGAAATTTCATTATTGTTCCATAATACGTTAAAAGAGAGAAGATCGTAATTGAAAGAATAAGAGGATAAAAATGCTTGGAGTAAAGGAAATTCGAGGAACGTACATTTACTTATTTCTTTATGGAATATAACACAAATTTGAAAACGTGTATAAATTATTAATGATAGCTACAACGAATAAAAAAATAATGCTCATTGAACATGGGTTATTGACACGGTGGGGTAACGGTACTATATAGCAACACTTGTTTGAGTGTTTTTTTTAAACTATTTAATCATGTATCCTCCTGTTTGTATAACATAACTCATGAAAAAAATTAAGACATTTGACATTCATACAATGGAGAACTCCAATTGCCACCGGTGGCTCATGGGACCCTCAATTTTAATTCTACCAAGGTGGGAATTCCATTAGTACACGAAAAAAAAAAAAATCCACAAAATTTCACCAGAATAGAGATAATCAGTGGATCTCACCGTATATTAAAAAAATGTGCGGACCCCACCGCGTGTGAGTGTTATGTTGCATTTCTGTGGACTGTGCTTATGTACGTGAAGCACTTTTCTTACCAAGGCCCCCCAGACACTGAAGAAGATTAATTCTAAATTCAATACAAATTTCTTACAAAAACATCATTAAACTACTAAAAGCCTCCATTGGGTAGGTTCATTTTATATTGCCTTCATAGTGCACTCAAAAGGTAGTGTTAGTCCTATTTGCCATCCATTCTCCAATAAAATAATATTACACCTAA